TATTTCAATTATTAAACTGTTTTTATCTCAACCCACGAGTTTTTCTCACTTTTGCTCTTCCAATTCTCTCCCTCATCCCACCGGGGGTGGGGGAGAGGAGTGAGCGAGCGGCTGTGTGGTACTCAGTTGCCGACTGAGGTTAAACCAGAACAAACATTATGGCTATTTCAGAGAAATGCAGTAGCATGTGAAACTGCAAAAACCGACACAGTAACTCAGCGGTTTACTTAGCTGCTTCTCTTCTAGTTCTAGCTGATGTCAAGATGCCTACTTTACGCCTCTCTGTGAAGTATCATATTATCAAAGATAAATTGCCTTCTGTCTCCAACTGTTGGTCACTATATGCCCCCTTGAAGTAGCCTCACATAGATTCTACAGAATTGAAACTGCAAGTGACATTCTGATTCAGAAATCAGGGGGAAAATATCCATGGCAGGCAAGTGGTCCTTCTTCTGTGACTCATGGCAGAATGAGTTAGACATTAGAGATTGAATTCCCAACAGGTACCCATCTGACCTGCTGTTCAAAACTTCCAGCACAGGCAGTCCATGCTCTAGTTAGGCAACTTACTCCAGTGCTTTGCCAGCCCAGGTATTAATGTCTCTCTCGATGTTTAACCTAAAGTCTGCACAACTGCCAATTTAATTTCACTCGTTTTGGTGGCAGTCACAGTGAATAGTTTATTTCCTCCCTTTCTGTACTAAATGTTTACATATTCAGAGACTCTGGCCTCTAACTGTGCTTTGCTTGCTTACACTAAGTAGTCCCCTATTATTCCAGCATTTCCTCACAGGTCATGTGTCAGGATGCCCCACAGTCCTCACTGTTCCTTTTTGGATCCTGCTCAACTGGTCCGTGCCTTTTCTGAACCCCAGACTGGTGCGGGGTAGGTGGGCTTTACAAGTACTGAGTACGTAAAAATAGGATTTTTTTCTCTCTCAGCAACATGCGAGTTATGTTTAGCTTGTAATATTGTAGAATGCTCTCATCCTTTCTGGCAAAACTGCTGCCTGTGTAGCTGTTACCACTCTACTTATTACACAGACAATTATTTTTAATTGTTACACCTTGCATTGGTCCTTATTGAATTATCTCCTATTATTTTAAAGATTATTTCTCCATTTTGTGAGGATCATTTTAAGTTGTAATCATGCCTATCTACCTCTCTATTTCAGCACACACACACACAAAAAAATTAAATAGTACCAGACCCAGAATAGGTTGTTTCAGAAACTAACTGGACACATTTTTCCAGTTTGACAGAAAACTACTGAACTGCTTTCTGAACATATTTTCCTATCAGCTGTGCATACACCTGCTAATAGGTTCTGCTAAACTGTCTTTCCCTTGTCTTCCCAGAGAATAATCACTTGCGCCAGTGCCCTGTGCTTTATTTCAAGTAAGGATACAGGACAACTAGTATTCCTCTTCTAGGCCTGCTTCTCTGCAGTAAAAGGAAGCTAAGATTATGTTGGCCATTCTCTTTGTTTTCTTCTAAGTATCTTCTACTCACATACTTGCTTCTGTGAATCTGCTAACCATCACAGCCATTTTATGCTTTCTGTATTTCTCCCCTAAAGCACAAATAAAACAAAAGTTCTTTACCTTATGCTCTCCATCGACTGTTTTCAGTGTTATACCATAATCAAGCTCTTTATATATATCAATTAAAGACAGTAGCTTTCCATTTTCTCTGAAGTGAGAGGTTGGCAGCTTTATGGTGACATTTATGCAGTTTAGACAGGAACTGATATTAACTTCTGGTGGTCCCAGGTATGCTATTGAAAAAAAGGAGAAAAAAAAGAAGATGGAAAAAATATACACTATGTATTCAGTACCAATTCTAATCAGATTCCAGAGTATGTCACTGTTGTAAATCCACAAGGCTTTGCAACATTTAAGTTCCACAGTCAAACGATCTTTTCCCACATGACTAGATTTTAAGAACAGAAAGCAGTGGGGGGGAGGGAAGAAGCAGAAACGTGACAGAGGCTTTGCTTCAGCTCCACAGAGATGTGAGCTTTTTATCTATTTCAGAGGAAAGCTGAGGTTAATGTATAGGAAAAGCTGATCACTTTCTTGCCCATCATCATCTTCTAGTCACTCTCTGGAAGGAATCTCTGTAGAAATTCAGTGGTGTGTAGCCCTGCACATATTCATACTGGTTGCAAGGAAGGCTATAGGTCTAAACTTGACAGCTGAGCTCCAAAGACTAAAAACTCCGCTGACAGTAGGGCAGAGGACTGAGTGAAACATAGTGGAAGTCTCACAGAAATGTAACTGAGTTTAAAGTAATCTCTCAAGTTCAGGTCCTCAGAACATGTGTATGTTTGAAGAGCCATGCACGCTAATTGTCCTCTCTCCAAAACTACACATCCATCAAGAGCAGAGGAACTTCCACAGTGAATCAAGCCTAAGAT